CTCTAATCAGTGGTGATTTAGAGCATTTTTTCATATGACTATAGATGGCTTTAATTTCTTCATCTGGGCAGAATCTTTTAAGAGATCGAGTCACTGGATGATGGCCTTCAGAGGGATCTTCGGACCCTTTATGTAGCAGGCCCGCACAGCTGCTGCCAGTCAGAGTCAGTAGCATTCAGAGAGTATTATTGGAGCCCAGGGAAGGGAAGCGAAGCGGCTTGCCTCCTTCCGGCTACTTGTAGCCCTCTTGGTGGAAACCAAGGATTGCATGAAGATCGGGTCTCAAGAGAGACCTTCATTGGAGACTCCTAAACTGGAAAAGATGAATCAAGTTATTTCCCTGAAGTAAATGATATTGAGAAAGGAAGAAAGGTACAAGCATTTATTGAATGCCTACTGTGTGCCAGGTACTGCGCTAAGCACTTTGCAAATAATACCTTTGTTGGTCCTCACAACAACCCTGGGAGGTGGGTACTATTATTATCTCTTTTTACAATTGAGGAAATGGAGGCAAACAGAGGTTAGGTGACTTGCCCAGGGTCACACAGTATCTAAGGCTGGCTACTGCAGAGCTAATACAATCTCTTCCATGAGTGGTAGAAGTATATCAAGTTCATTGTAATAGGAAAAGGGCAAACCTTCTGTGTATTTTCTATTTTGCAGATTCTTTTTCTGGGATAGGGAGAGGTGGACCTGAGGTTTTATGGGTTTGGGGAGGGACTCCCTCTGTTGTGCAGATTAGAGAGGGTGTGACTTGCCTAGGGTCACACAGGTGGTATGCGGTAGAGACAGAGGTTGAACCCAGGTCCTCCTGGTTCCCAGCCTCTGCACTCCTCCACTCTGTCCTTCTTTTCAGACATTAGAGACACAGACCCACATTCTGTTTCTGGCTCTTCTCCTTCCTTAGCTGCAGGACATTGGGCAAATCAATCAGTGTACGTGTATTGAGCACCTACTATGTGCCAGGTACATCTCTCTTGCGCCTCAGTTTCTTCATTTGTCAAAGGGGTCTAGATAATAAATAGGAAAGTGCTTTTAAAGCTGTAAAGTGCTATGTAAACCTAACATCGTTTTCTGTTCTAGATTCCCATTTTAAGGGATACTTTCTCTTGATTTCAGTATTTCGGGCGAAGGTGATGACTTTGTAAATGAAGAATCCATTCCTTGTAGAGGGAGCTTTGACTGTAGCTCTGCACGTGGTGAATGGAATGCTGGGCCTGGAGTCGGGAAGCCCTGAGTTCCCAGCTCTGCGCGCACACCCTCCACCCCCCCACGTTACTTACTTTTTGTCTGCCCCAGTTTCCTCAACTGTAAAATGGAGATCATAATATCACCTACTTTGTAGGTTGTTGGGAAAATCAAATGAGATGAGATTTATATAAAACATTTAGGAGTGGCTAGGTGGCGAAGTGGGTAGAGCACTGGCCCTGGGGTCAGGAGGGCTTGAGTTCAAATCTGGCCTCTGACACTTGACACTCACTAGCTGTGTGACCCCGGGCAAGTTGCCTAGCCAAAAAAAAAAAAAAGCAGGCATTTAGCCCAGTGCCTGGCATCCAGTAGGCGCTATATAAATGTGTATTCCCTTCCTTGTAAATATGGCCATAGAAAGGCATTTCATCCCAGGACCCTGTCTTTGGTTTTGTACTAGGGCTCACAGTGCCAGCTGGCTGTGCTGTGTAAACAGCCAGGTATTAAGGACACACGGGTGGGACAGAGCTGGTACCGGGCCTGCTGGGATGAGGGGGTTGCCTGGCTTGGCATCCTGACTCCACCAGGCCTGGGAAAATTGCTCCCATTCCGTTTGCTCATCTATGGATTGAAGGCTAGATGATCATTAAGGTTCCTCCCAGCTTTAAGTAGCTGGGATATGTGTCATTTTATTTGACATCCTTGCTTTGGAAATTGCCCAGCCAGGCTCCCGGTGGCTCCCAGATGCTGGGTGAGAGGGTTGGCTCGGTTTCCCTTCAGCATTCTTCCTGCTTCCACAGCAGTAGCTTCTGGTGGTCCCCAGCTCTTTGTCTCTGGTCCTGACCTCTTTCCCGAGCACCAGTCTTCCCTTGCCAGCTGCCTGATGGGCATCTTTATTCTACTGCTTGTTTTCCAGCAGCCAGGCCTTGGAAACGAAACGCAGGCCTGTCCTCCCAGCCCTCCTGTTTCTCTGCTCTTTGATTAAGGCCAGCAGGCCTTAGCAGACCCCCACCCCTGCCGATGTGTGTCCAGTCACCTAGTCTTTTTAGTTGCCTTAGATGAGTATTTAAATCTGCTAAGCACACTGGATGAAAGAAGAGGGGGGCAGATTCAAGTTGGGTCATAAGGGATTAAAAATACATTTGATTACATGATTCTTGATAGCTTAGCCTCCCTTCCACATGATAAACTCCCTGAGAGCACGCTAGGCTAGGCTCTTTCCACCTCCTTCCCATCTTCTAATCTCCTAGCATGTGCTTCGAACGTGTTAAGAGGCATTTATGTCTTGGACTCCTTGAAGTTCTTTGGCTTTTTGTCTCATTTTAAAAAAAATTAGAATATTTTAGTTTTCCCCCAGTTATATGTAAAAATAGTTTTTAACGTTCACTTAAAATTTTTTTTTCTCATTGTTTAAAAATAGTTGTAGTTCACATAGACCCTGCTTCAGATGATTTCATGTGGCATAATGATTAATTGTATTTGTATGGCTTGGAAGGGCACTGGGAATCAGGAGCCTCAGGATCGAGTTCATTCAGGAGAGGAATGGACTGGCCGAGTCGGGGGCCTGGGAGGCACCAGGACGAGGCTGCCCTGGTCACAGCCTCGGCCTGGCAGGAGGTAGAGGGCTGCTGCTTGGCTGCTTCGTAGCGGTGGGAACTCCAGAGATACACAGGTTTCTACTAGTTTTCATTGAAATGTAAGTTTTCAGTTATCATGACATAATCATACTTTTGTAAGGTATCCTGGGAACCTAGCCACCATTATAAGGAGAAAATTGTTTTCAGCATTCCAAACAAATCATTTACAAATTAATTTCTCAAATCCACCTCTAAAGACTGCCTAGTCTTTACTGGAAGTTTATTGTAGAATGTGTCATTCCTCAAAAACAACAGCAAAAAAACCGTACAGGACTGTGGTATACGGGTGTGAGTCAGTGCAAACATGATTCTGGCATCAGTCCAGGAGGCATCTGAAGAGAAGAGTTGCTTTTGAGGAAGGAGTTTGGGAGGTGGCCCTCGAAGGCCTTGAGGGAAAGAAAGGGAGGGAGATTTCGACCAAGACGCACTGGGCACGGAGCATGGGATAGAGGACAGTGTTCAGAGAGTGGCCCATTTGGGCCAGAATGTAGGCTTTGGCAAAGGGCTGGAAAGGTCCGTGTAGCTAGATGGTGGAGGGCCTCAGTGTGTCTGGATCAGAACTTTATACTCATTTCAGTGGGTACTGGGGAGCCCTGGAAAGTGTGTGGGTAGAAATGGGACAGGCAGTGGTGTGGGGGGTGGGTCAGGGTGGGCTTAAGGCAGGAAGACAGATGTGCCTGTTGGGGTGCTTTTGGTGAGAAGAGATGAGGCCCACAAAAAGAGCAGCTGATTAGAAGAAGACTGTGCAGGAATGAGATGGCCTGTGGGAGGTGAGGAGGAGGGAGGAGAGAAATTCTTGAAGGCCAGGGCAGATGGTGGGCTTCTCTGCAGCCAGAGAGAAGCTAGAGGTGGGGCAGAGAGGCAGCTGCTGGGAAAAGCTGGGTGAGGCCTCCAGGAATAGAATGGCCAGGATGAAAGTAGGAGCCCTGCCCATTGGGCTCCAGAGAAAAATGTTCTTCTCCCTGCATGGGCAGGGCCCGAGGACACTCCAGTTTCAGAGCTGAAAAAACGGGAATAATAGCACAGGCAGCAGTGCACATATTGGGAGGACAAGCGGGTTTGGGGGCACAAACAGAGAGCTCGTATATTGGGATGGCCAGATTTTGAAGTGGCAGCATCTGTAGCTTTGCAATCTGGGACTAGAAGGATGAGGAGAGAGAACTAGAAAAGAAGCCAGCTGAGCCACAGCTGGGATTAAGGATTGGGAAAAATTTTGGTATTTGTGTTTTCGAGTTGTCTTGCATGATTATAATGATTAGAATACATTTGCCTCCCAATGTAATGTTTGCTAAGCATTTTACCCACACTAGGCCTGGGGTGTAGAGAGGGCAAAAAGAATTCTGGTTTGGCAGATGAAGAAAAAACGAGGCTCAACTACAAAGCTACGTCACTGAGAGCTTATCGGCCTCGACTGTTTTCCATGTGCCCTTTCTGGCCTGCCATGAACTTGCATGTATCTGCAGGCGAGAAGGCCGGCGACTTTGGCTGACCTCCAGCCCTGCTGCTTTCCCGCCACCTAAGTGCTAATAGGGAAGTATTTGGTCTGTTTGACGCTTCTCTACCCCTGCTAGTGGGGGAGAAGGGCTTCCACACTTCCAGAGTCCCACAAGGTCTCATTTAGAATCTTGACCTCCAGTTAACCTGTGAACAATGGGAATTTTTTACGGTGCAGCGGCTTAGAGAGCTGAGCCTGGAGTCCAGAAGACCTCAGTGCAACCCAGCCCCAGACCCTCGCTGTGTGACCCTGGGCAAGTCCGGTGACCGCTCTCAGTCTCAGTTTCCCTCTTCTTTAAAATGGGCATGATAATACCAACTCTCAGTCTCGTGAGGATCCAGTGAGTTAGTATTTGAAAAGCACTGACCACAGTGCCCAGAATACAGGAGGCTCCATACAAATTCGTGTTGTCATTGTTGCTAGCTCTGTCAAGAGAAGGTTCTCAGTTCGTTTATTGAGAATAGGTCAAATTATGGAAATAACATGGCAAAGCAATTTGTTGTACTTCTCGGGGCCTGGTTCACCACCTAGAGACTGTCTCACTGTTTTCTTTTCTGCCCCCTGTCAAAGTTGGGTTATGGTTCGTTCAGTTAGAGCTGTTCAGTCTTGCGAGTCAGAGAAGAATTTTGATCGGTAAAGGCCTGCCACCATCTGGCTCCGAACCAACCTGATTTTCTACGATGGCCTCTCGGGCCACACGTGGCGATTGCCAGACACGCTCCGCACTGTCCTCGCACTGCTCCAGTCCCTGCAGTTTCCTCTGCTGGCATCTCTCTCTGTGGAATGCCTCACCCACCCGCCTACCTTTGTGACCCCCCCCCCCCCCCCAGTCAGAAGTGATCTTGCCCTGCTCTGCCTTGCTCTTTGTTCCCTGGTGGGTTATTGTATTCTGGTGTTTCCTCTGGTGAGCCTGTGCACAGGCCCCCCCACCTGACTCTGCCTGCCCTCGCGCTCTCTCTGGTGGAGCCCAGGTCCCCACTCTCAGGAGCATCGGAATCGTGGGGAGGGGCTGAAGTACAGGGTGTTCGTATTGAGCTCGTGTTTATTTCTCTTTTGTTGGTCCACAGGAGCTGGAGGAAATCCGCAAGTGTGGGATGAAAAACTTCCGTAACATCCAGGTTGATGAAGCTAATTTATTGACTTGGCAAGGGCTCATCGTTCCCGTGAGTATGAAGCTGCTTCTTCTCAAATGTGCGGTCCTGGTCTTGCCCCAGCTCAGCAGAGCGGCTCAGCCCTGGAGGCTTGGGGGGGCTCTCCTCCCCTCCTTCAGGCCTTCCAGGGGAGCTGGGCTTGACGCTTCTCGGCCTTTTCTTCTCCCACCTGGGCGGTGTGGGGCCAGCCACACTTTTTCTCATCTGAAAGTGGGCAGGGATGGGGGGGGAGGTTGGGTGATTTTTGCTAAGTCTCTTCCTGCTCTCAGCCCTGTGAAACCTGTGGTTTCACCCAGTCTGCTTCCAAGGGGGTGGGTGTGATTCTTTTCTGGTTCTGTAGAGCTTTCTTTTTCATTCTTTCTGCCCCTTCATCTTCCTTCTCCCATCTCCTCCTGCCTCCATCTGACCACATCTATGGGAGCAGATTATTGCACTTGGAGACAGAAGTCTGAGCTAGGTTCAAATGCTGTCTCCACCCCTGCAGCCTTGGGCGAGGTCCCTCCTGCTGGTATCAGCTGTATTTGTAAAAATAATATGTATATATATATATATATATATATAGGCTAGGTACTTGGTAAGGCTTCTTCCGGCCAGAATACTTTGTGATCACTTTTTATAAGTAACAGTGAGCAGTAGCCTGATAGAGCGGGTGAGATTGCTACTGGCTCGGAATCAGAAGCCCCTGGGTCCCAGGACTTCCTCTGTGGCCGTGCACCAGGACAATGTCTTCTTGGGCCTTGGTTTTCTTTATAGCAAGTAATCATCTTCCCGGGACCTTGGACTTGTTGGTTTTGTTCAAAACCCTGTAGTTGCCATATCACTTAACGTTAGAGACTCCCAGCTCCGGGCTCTGAGTCTAGTCCATCGTTGCATGCATGAGCCCCCTCGACATTACTCCTGACAGGTGTTGATCCAGCTTTCATTTGGAAATCTCATTTCCTTTTAGGGTGGCCCATTCATTTTGGGGGCAGCTCACCTTGTGAGATGGCAGAGAGCACGTTGGCAAAAACAAGAGCATCTCTTTCCTAGATCTACAAATCTTCCTCCTCTTTGAAGACCCCATGAATTTCAGTGAACAGCTTTTACTTGGACAGCGTGTGAGGGCTGGAAGTGAAATAGGAAATGGAGGTGAATCTGGCAGGATTGCAGGGTCCTGCACTAGTGGCCGGGTTAGGTCCTGCCTCCTCCCTCCCTGCAGGGGCTCCAGGCACATCCTAGCCACACTCCTTGAGGTCCCTTCCGGCTCCTCTGCTCCTGCCTGGTGGCTGTCGCTGTCTGTGTCTGTAGGCCCTGCTGATTTCCCTCTGCACGGTCAGCTCTGTGGTTCGGCCTCTGTCCCTTTGTGTCTGTCACACGTCATCTGCTGCCCGGCCATGCTTCCCAGCACGTGGACGTCGACTTTCTCTCCAGTTGCTTGCTAATATAACAGGTTGTGCTGATTGTTGTATTTGATAGAGCTCGTCCCTCACAACAGCATCATTACTGTTTTGTTGGTGCAGCATATATCGAGCATCTGCAGGGATGCAGATTGAGTGTAGTGATACAAAGTACCTACTGTGTGCTTGGGGCTCAGAATAGGAAGAAGAGAATGACCTCCTTCTTACCCTCAAGTAGCTCCTTGGACAGTGGGATGTATCAGACAGGGTCTCAAATGATGGAAGTGTAGGAGGTTCAGGGAGGGAAGGATGGATGCCTTGTCAGGGAGGGAAGGCCCTTGGATATGCCCTTGAGAGAGGGAGGAAGGATTGACATGTAGAACCTGTGTCCGCCTCCACTGGATCTGGGCAGATGCCCTGTACAGATTCAGTGGAGGAAAAAGGAGCAAGTGAGATGGCAGGCCTGGTAGAGAGAAGGGGCACGAGGTAGGTGTTGAGAGCACCAAGTAAAGCTCCCTGGGGAAGCCACAAGGTGAGAAGCAGCTGGAGTGCATTCTTTTCTCAGCTGGGACATCTGAGCCTTGCAGATGGTGAATAGCTTTCAAGGGGGAATCTGGACACTTGAGTGGGAAAAGAATTGGGCCTTTATTTTCACTAAGCTCTTTCCGAAATGTGGCATTTCTTTCCCTTCTGAATTAAAAACAGGAGCAGCATTGTCCTGAGATGTAGGCTTCATTAGATTGCCAGACGGGACCATGATTCCAGAAAGGGTGAGATCTTCCTCCTACTCGGGCAGCGAAGAGCCATTTAATCTTTTTGAGGAGGGCAAGGATGCCCCAAGAGTATGTTGGCAGTGACACAAACAGCATGATGGGAATGGGAGAACCAGGATGAGGAACTGAGGATGAGAGGTGACTTGGCTTACAGGAACTCACTTAGATAAATGACGGGCAAGGCCCCCCCCGCCCCCCCCCCAGGCCAGCTCTTGTCCCTGGGGCTCTTGGTTTTTTGTTTTGTTTTTGTTTTTTATAATTAATTAATTTCTTTTTAGTTTTCAGCATTCACTTCCATAAGATTTTGAGTTTCAGATTTTCTCCCCCTCCCCAAGACAGTGCACAATCTGATGTAGGCTCTACTTATACATTCATGTTCAGCATATTTTCACATTAGTCATGATGTAAAGAAGAATTAGAACTAATGGGAGGAACCACGAGAAACAAGAAGGAAAACAACAAAAGAAAAGCGGAGCAAATAGCCTGCTCCCGTCTGCATTCAGACTCCAGAGCTCTTTCTCTGGCTGTGGGTAGCATTTTCCATTGTGAGGCTTTTGGAGTTGTCTAAGATCCTTGTATTGCTGAGAAGAACCAAGTCTGTCAAAGTCAGTCTCGCACACTCAGCATCAGTTCATGTAAGTCTTTCCAGGTTTTTAAACAGCATCCTGTAGGATTATGGTTCTTAATCCACTCTGCTGTCCTCTTCTGTTTTATGGGAGAGTTCATCCCATTCGCATCCACAGTTACTATCAGTCTTTCTCTCCATCCCCTTCCCCCGCTTCCTCCACCTCTCCCTTAGTCTGCCCCCTTCCTTCTATGCACCCCCGCCCTTTTCTTTCTCCTTTCCCCCTCTGCTTCCTATAGGGTAAGTCAGATTTCTCTACCTAACTGATATTATTCCCTTCTTGAGCCAAATCTGATGAGAGTAAGGTTCAAACAATGTTCATCTCCCTCCCTTTCCCCCCCACTGTAATAAGTTTTTGTGCTTTTTTTTGTGATGTAATTTGTCATTGTCTGCCTCCTCCTTTCCTCTTCTCCCAGAACAATCCCTTTTCACCACTTGATTAGATTTTTTTTATCATCACATCAAAGTCAACTTATACCCACACCCTCTGTCTATCTCTTTTTTTTACTCTTCCGTGAGGCGACTGGGGTTAAGCGACTTGCCCAGGGTCACACAGCTAGTAAGTGTTTAGTGTCTGAGGCTGGATTTGAACTCCGGTCTTCCTGACTCCAAGGCCAGAGCTCTATTCACTGCGCCACCTAGATGCCCCCCTGTCTGTCCTTTTAAATGTCCAATAATGATAACAGTTCTTAAGGGTTTACATCCCTACAAGGGAAGTGTCATCTTCCCTTGTAGGGATGTAAACAAGTTTGCCCTTATTAATAACATGTTACTTTTTTATTTCCTGTTTACCTTTTTATGTCCTTCTTGAGTCTTGTATTTGAAGATCAAATTTTCTGTTGAGCTCTGATCTTTTCATCAGGAAAGTTTGGAAGTCCCCAATATTGTTGAATGTCCATCTCCTACCCTGAAAGATTATGATAAGTTTCACTGGGTAGTTGATCCTTGGTTGTAATCCAAGTTCCTTTGCCTTACAGAATATCATATTCCATGCCCTTCCATTTTTTAATGTAGAAGCTACAAAGTCCTACGTAATCCTGACTGTTTCCATTATTTTTAAATTGTTCTTTCAGGTTGCTTGTAGTATTTTCTCTTTTTCCTGGTGATTTTGGAATTTGGCTACAACATTCCTTGGCATTTGCAATTTGGGATGTCTTTCAGGAGGTGATCTGTGGATTCTTTCAATGACTAATTTACCTTCTGGTCCTAGGACCTCAGGACAGTTTTCTTTGATGATTTCTTGAAAGATGCTGTCCAGGCCCTTTTTTTCATCATGGTTTTCAGGTAGACCAATAATTTTTAAATTGTCTCTCCTGGATCTATTTTGCAGGTCAGTTGTTTTACCAATGAGGTATTTTATGTTTTCTTCTATTTTTTCATTCTTTTGTTTCTGTTTGACTGATTCTTGATATCTCAGAGTCATTAGCTTCCACTTGCCCAATTCTAATTTTTAACGGATTGTTTCCTTCTGTAGATTTTGTACCTCCTTTTCCATTTGGCCTGTTTTACTTTTTAAGGAGTTCTTCTCTTCAGTGAGTTTTTGTGTATCCTTTTCCATTTAGCCAATTGTATTTTTTAAGGACTTGTTTTCTTCAGTCAATTTTTGTCCTTCCTTTTCTAAACTGTTGGCTCTCTCTTGCATACCTCTCATTTCCTTTCCCAATTTTTCTTCTGCCTCTCTTATTTGACTTTTAAAATCCTTCTTGAGCTCTTCCAAGAAGGCTTTTTGGGCTTGAGACCAGTTCATATTCCCCTTTGAGGTTTCAGATGTGGGCATATTGACAGTATTGTCCTCTTCTGAATTTGTGCCTTGATCTTCCCTGTCCCCAAAGAGAATCTGTGGTCATTGCCCGTTTCTGCTTTCTGCTCATGGTGTTTGCCTGTTTCCTGGCTTTTAAAGTTGAGCTCTCCTGCTGGAGTGCAGAAGGCACTGACACAAGTTTCTTATGCTGGGAGCCTGGGACTTGGTCACTGGCTTTGTGTGCTGGGGCCTTAGGTGCTGGCAGCTGGAGGCTGTAGGGGTCTACTAGCAGCTTACCTGGTGCTGAGCTGGGGTCAGCAGCCCTGGAGTTCTCAGGGTGGGGGTGGGGAGGATGCCTGTTCCCTTGGGCTTCTTTAAAACACTCCAATTTTGGCTGCTGGAGGATGTCTGCCAGGCTGGAGTTGTGCTGAAGCACTGAGAGATTTGGCTTCTGGAGAACGCTGCTGCGTGTGGTGGTTTCCTGAGCTGGTATTTAT